CAGGGACAGTGACAAAACACCCCAGGTCTGGAGTCAGGGACAGTGACAAAACACCCCAGGTCTGGAGTCAGGGACAGTGACAAAACACCCCAGGTTTCTCATATGCAGATTTAAATGCATGTGAAAGCAGAGGGGGACACTCCAGTTGAGGGGACCAGCGGGGGGTGGGGGGAGGTGGAGCACCATGGAGGAGGAAAGATGAAGTCAGAGACAAGCACGTATGAAACCCACAACACCCACTATTCTGTACAACTAAAGTTCATGACAAAATAGAAAAGGGTATTTTTTACTTTAAGTTTAAAAAAAAGATTTTAAAAGATACAAATATGAGTCAAAAAATTAAGTAAAATTTAGGTTAAACTTGATTGACTTTTATTTTAAAGCTAGGTATTTCCTAGCTTTCTTCACTGAAAAGAGAGAAATGAACACACCATGAGATAAAATTTTTTCTTAAGCACACAAAAAAGCCATTTCAACATGAAATATAACACCAAATGAAACAGCCCAATCTAAAGTAGATCATTAATAAGCAGCATATACCGGAATTACAGCTCAGTGGTAGACGTTTGCCTGGTGTGCGGGAAGGCCAAGACGTCACCAACAGAACCACAGAACCAAATGGAATAAACAAAGAAATGTCCTCTTAGGGGAAAAAAAGTCTGCAGATTAGGCTGCATGCAAAACCCAGACATATTCTAATATAAGATCCAGCTAAAATGACCCTCAGAGGCGCTAAATTAAAACAGGCGCACAGACTAAAGCAAGGACTCCAAGACAGACCGAGCTGAACCTTACACAACGGGGAACTAGGGAACAAACAGCACTGAATGGCTGTGAAGGGTACAGTCAACACTGGAGAGCTGCCAGACATCTTTATGCAACCAACAACAAGGTACAAGGCAAAAAGCAAACAAAAACAACATACCCTACAGAGAGCAAATTGGCAGGAACGTGATGAGATTCCCCATAGTTAGCAATTTCTAGGGTTATGAGTGATGAAGAAAAAAATACAAATAATAAAAAAGTAAATAGCAAAATTAAATTGTAGACCATATAGAAATAAGTGGTCAGAAACACAATAAAAATAAATAAAATATTCCTATCATTTGAAAAGCAATAAGTAGCATTCAGCAGGAAAGTTAATTAGACAGGCAGAGTTCACCAGAAGGCGGCAAGAATGGGCTCACACCAGAACACCATTCGCCGTACTGATGACACAGAGACAAAACTACAAAACCTCGCAGATGCTGCAGAGTCTGGTAAAACTCACCGCCCAAACACTCAATCTAAACTAAGCAGAAGGACAGTGCTTTCCAAATCTGATGAAGATGGCCTCACGTAAAGCCAGTGTGTGGAAGGACAGCTTGTCAGTGTCTATCCCCAAAGACATGGAACCTGTGATCTAACGGCACTCCTGGGACCTTTCCTGCTTTTTCTATGGTTAAAGAAATGGAGGAGACATCAATAATTCACCAAATTATTCATCAATATGATGGCAGACACACGGTGGGACACCAAGTTCCCTACAAAAGGAACACACTTGAATTAACTCAGAAATCTAGATGAACAAACACTCATACAACAGTAAAAGTGCAAGGTGGTACAGTCCCCATTTGTTTGAAGTGTTCTCTTGAATAATACTTCTCTGAGGGTACATAGTAAGGAGAGAAAGCTGGGGAGACTGCAGCATGGGTCAGAAAGGATACCTAACAAAAAATTACCAGTCCTCAAATCCAGACACTGAAAATAACGTCTCCTTTCTTCTCAAGATCTCCCTCAAGGGAAAATAAACACGAAATGTGCAAATTGCCCCAGAGAAGTGTTTTCTCGCTTTATGGTGTGTAAAGAATTGTTCTAACACTTTAAAAAGTATAAGCCACCAGAGTCTGAACCAACAACCAGGGAGCCTGCATGGGACCTACCTAGGCCTCTGTATATATGTAACAGTGTGTAACTTGGTCTATATGTGGGTCTCCTGGCAATGAGCAAGGCCTGTCCCCAGTGCTTTGTGGCTCTTGGGAACCTATTCCTCATGCTGAATTGCCTTGCCAGCCTGAACACAGGGGAGGTGCTCGGTCTTAGGGCGGCTTGATATGCCATGCTTTGCTGAAGCCCATGGGAGGGAGGCCTGCCCCTTTCTTATCAATTACAGAGGAGGGGTGGGTTGGGGGGGACAGAGGAGGAGAGGAGGGAGGGGAGGCTGCAGTCAAGATGTAAAATAAATAAATTAATGAGTTAAAAAAAAAGTATAAGCCACATTGACCCAGGCATTCAGAATACAATTTAGAACATACAAGAATAATGGCTACAGCTCGCTTTAGGGGAAAAAAAAAGTTTTTTACACACACACACACACACACACACACACACACACACACACACAAAATCAAGACAATTTATCCTAAGAAAGTACTCCAATATTTAAAACAAAAGGTCAAAAAGACTAAACAAAAAAGGCAAATCCACATCCCAGGACTGAGAGAATGGGAGACAGAGCCGTGTGGGTTCAGAACACAGAGGCCAAGGAGGAGGCAGGCAGAGCCCCAGCCCCTGAAACAGTATTATCACACACAGATCAAAGGCCTGAGTCCGCAGAAACCAACAGTGTGGAAAAATGCAAATGGGAAAGTGTCCTATCCAGAGCGTCTGAAGGCACACAACTGCAAACCAGGCGGGCAGCCTGTGCCTGGACTTGCTTTGAGCGGGCAGGCTTGAGAGCACATCTGGTAGCAACTAGGAAGTGTGGAGTAGTTCTTGAGGCTCTGCCACAAGTGGAGGAGTAGAGGGGGGTGAAGTTAAAAAGAAAACCAGATGCAGGGACCCAGAGCTGAGAGGCGGACCCAGAGTTCCGGGCCTTGCTTCATCCTGAAGCCACCATCACTATCAAGGGACTGCTACACCAGTGTTCATCCACATTACACACTTTGTTAGGATGTCCTAGGTTACTCTATGTTTGTTTATGGTCACCTCAGGGAGGTCCAAGGGAACAAGAGCAGGACTCCAGGATGAGACCTTGCCTAGCTCTGCCCACTCTGATTTTCACTGGGTAGAAAGTGAACTTTGCTGACTTGAAGTGAACAGTGATAGGTAATTTACATGCAACATCAAGATGACTGGATTTGGCAAGGACCTGGTGAGTATTGAACAGGACAGAGCAGGCGACTTAAAGGCACACACGACGCCGGGCCGTGGTGGCACACGCCTTTAATCCCAGCACTGGGGAGGCAGAGGCAGGTGGATCTCTGTGAGTTCGAGGCCAGCCTGGTCTACAAAGTTGAGTTCCAGGAAAGGCTCCAAAGCTACACAGAGAAACCCTGTCTCGGAAAAAAAAAAAAAGAGGCACACACGAGGCTGTAAATTCTGAACAACCAGGACTAAAAAAGAACATTACAGTAGGCAAGTGAGAAGCTGGCTGACAAAGACTTACTCAGTGACTTCCCGGGGTACAGTTTGGCCTGGGGGTAACCAGGGATCATCTTCTCATCTCTAGCTCTAAGATTCTCAAGTTCATGTTTGATAATGAACTGACACTCAGCCATTGTGAGGAAGTCCTCATTGTTATCTAAAATAGAACAAAACTTTCTGGTTACTTGCTTAGTGGAATATAAAATTAATAACGTTCAAATTGTTATGCTTGTGGTCATATCATAGAAATGCCATAAACATAAACAACCTAAGGAGCTGCCAAAGTTCAAAACTGGAAAGTTAACAGATGGCAAAGCACTTAGATATGAGGGTACCGCGTTGGCTCTGATTTCTAACTCAGCCTTCAGTCATTTCAAAGCCTCTCTGGCACCAAAGGTCCATTAGCACACACTGCCCTGGCTTTACTTGGAGCCAATGATCAGAGGCTGCACTCTGAATTGTAGGATGTTTTTAATGGGGGAGGCAGGGGGTGGGAGAGATGCTGTGTAAGCGTGCATATTCTTGAACTGTACCAATGTTTCTAACTCAGGTGGACAAGCTGACTTAAGTCACATTAGCCTCCCTCCCTTCTAGAACCAAGCATCACGGAGAATAAAATCTATAAGAAAACAGCAGCTCTGACAGACAAATCTTTTTTAGAGGAAAATATTACTCATATCACCATATCTCTGAGGTGAAAAGTTCTGCAGTGAGTTGGTACCAAGAGGCCTAATTCCATGTTCTAACTTGAACAGCGCTGCCAGGAGCCCATGCACTTGAAGCAAGTACCCCTCCTTCAGAAAGCCTGAGGCCCTGATTCACTCCAGAATATTCTCTTTGAGATGCCCTTTAAATGCCAGGACATGCCCATCATCCCACTACATCAGAAGGAGCCAGAAAAATCAAGAAGTGAGGTTTCTGAATACTGAACTCTTACATTTGCCCATGCATATTTATTACTAAAATTAGAACCATATAAATAAAGCACACGTTCTAACTTGTGTTCATCTACTCCAGAGAGGATAAGTTATAGCCCAAGGACTCTGCACAGCCTGTCCATTCATTTACTTATGGTCAAGGGCTACTGTTTTCCTCCAAACAGCAGAACTGAGAAACTGAGTACAGACTAAGGCCCACAAAGCCTAGATATTGAGTATTTGGTACTATACAGACCCTGATCTCATCAAACACTTCTATGCAGCAAACACATCTGGGTAGAAAAAAGCCATGGTGCTTACCGTGGAAGCCTTTAAAGTTGTGGCGGGTTCTGTAGGTGAAGGCCCGCATGGCGGCGTCTGTACACTCCTTCACCAGTCCTACTGCTTCTGCCCCAAGTAACAGTCTGATGTGGGAGGCGCCAACGAGGTATAAATTCTGGTTTTCTATTGTCTCTGTCTCATACTTATTTAACAGTGGTCTAAACAGCAGCTGGGCACCTGTCAAACACGAAACAGTGAAGTATAGAACAAAACAGACACAAACTTTCAAAAAATGAAATCTATAAAAGTATAATGTTTCTACTTGGCATAAGGAAATGAAACTGTATTAGCAATTTAAATCTATTATCCAATTAAAAAGAAATATAAGGAAGTTGGGAATAGAAGTTAATTGCTTGTGTTTGTGCATATGAGTGCACATGTGAATATATACATGTATGTATGTACATATGCAGGCCAGAGGTAACGCTGAATGTCTTCCTCAATTGTTCTCCTCATTTTTGAGACATGGTCTCTCACTGAATGGGAACTCACCAATTTAGCTAGATTGCCTGGCCAGTAGCTCACAGGGATACCCCTGGATCTACAGTCCCTGTTCTGGGATTACAAAATTTCATCAGTGTGCCTGGGTGCAGGTACTAGAGATACAAAGAGGTCCTCCTGCTTGCATGCCAAGCCCATTCCCCACTGACCCATGTCCCCAGCCCCCGCTGACCCATGTCCCCAGCCCCCGCTGACCCATGTCCCCAGCCCCCGCTGACCCATGTCCCCAGCCCCTGCTGACCCATGTCCCCAGCCCCTGCTGACCCATGTCCCCAGCCCCTGCTGACCCACCTTTCTATCTCCTACATGAACCATCTTCCTAGTCCCTACTAAAAGAAGCACTGAATTTGTTGGGCTGTGTTCAAGGCTGTTCCTTGCCTAAGGGTCATACCTTCACCAGGCTGCAGCTTCCTACACACACTGCTGTGTGTGTCTTTTCCCAGTATACCTCTTACACCTCTAAGTCCCAGCTAAGAGTCATTGGCATGGAAAACCAAAGCTGACCCTCTGAGTGTGAGGAGGGCCCCTCTATGGGAGGAGAGTTGGTGTAACCTCCAGCAGTTTACACCTGCCACTGCTGTTGTGAAAAGTCAGTCTGGCAAGTGACTCTCACTGGCTTGCACTCACCAAAGTTTCTGTCTTACTCACTGTCTGATCTACACTTCACAACTCTATTTTCTGTGCTCTGGGTAAGTCTCCCCTTGACACACTGGGAACCCTGTCAATAGTTTTACTGGAGGAACCTCTCTGTACTCCTTTGCTCTACTGGCTACGTATGTCCAGAACTCTAGACTAAGGCCCTTTCCTTCAGAACTAAAGAGGACCCCACTGCTCCCACATCAGACTGAGAAGTCCCACCCTTCCGGACCTGGCTTTGTTTCCTTTGTCCCTGCCAAGACCCTTGCATCTTCATCCCCAGGGTTCTGGAACTTTCATTGCTACAGCTGGTCACAGTTACCTCCTTCCCTGGAAGCTGGAATGGGTCCCCAGAGCCTCTCTACTGACTTCTCCTTCTCTCCCATCCTTCTGTTTGGCGTGAGGCCCTGGGCTGGCGGCGCTTCCTTCACCTCCCATTTTGCTCTTTGTTCTCGGAGGTCTTGCTAACATTATGCAAGCCCTTTATGATTTTTCACATGGGATTTTATGTTTTCACTCTGTAAAAGTTGCTTTTCCTACAAGGCTGTCTTTCTAACACATTCTTCATTTGTGGGTGGCTTCTCTTTCTGCCTCTGAAGGCTGAGCTCTTTATCCTCCTCCTGGCATGCTGCTCTTCATCTGCTTCCCCATCTCCCTGTGTCAGACATGTGACAATCTCTTCTTTAAGAAAGGGACCCCAAGGGGCTCAAGTTCTGAAAGCTTAGGTGGACTCATCAAGCGCAGCCTTTAATGGATAGAGGCCTCAACAGGTTACTTCTTGGACAATCCCCTGGTTTCTCTACAATTCATTCTTTTGTCCTAAATGGGTCAAAAATATGCACCCAAAATTATTGGAAGTCTTGTTCCTGCATTTTATAAACTGAATTAGATGTGAGGCTGGGGGTGGGAGAGGAAGATGGTGTCTTCCTTCTCAGTGGAATCTCGCTCTAGCCTCCACAGAAGCCTGGTCCCACCATCCCAGCTCCCAACCCTCCACAGAGAGTGAACCTGAGGTTCCTAGGCAGCACCTGTGGAGGCTGTGGAGACCCTGGGTTTTCTTCTAGAGCCCCACGGCCCTCCCATTCTGCAGTCTCTAGGGTACCAGTCTGCTTCCCAGTCATCCCAAATCCAACAGGCCCCTCATGTTTATATTTTTAAAAATAGTTCTGGCTTTTTGTATGTTTTGTTTTGTTTACCCCAGTTTTAACAGGAATTTAAAAATAATAAAATCAAACAGTGGTAGTAAATGTACATCCTCCCCCGGGGGATCCAAGGTCCTTTCTCCTCAATTGCCCAAGTGGAGCAGTGCAACTGCTCCTTCGCCCTAGTGTCCTTGAGACACAAGGCCAGAGCAAAGGAAGCTGAGAACTCACTGGACTTACTCTTAAATCACAGAAGGGTGAAGGGGAGGCTCCAGGCCAACTGAAAATATCTCAAATTTCAGCAAATACTCTTTCCTTTTGGTTCAATTACTTTTAAAAACATGTTGTATTGCCACTTTGATTTAAAAAGTCTATTCTTAAGGCATCAGTTTACAGTCATTGTTAAGGGCTTGACTTTAGTCCTCAGCTGCACAGCTGGTGGTTCTGTGTATTCTAGGGGCTGTCTGGTTATCCAAAACCCTCAATTTTTCACCAGTCCAAGCTCCTGCTACCCTCCAGAGAGAGCTAAGCCGCAGAGTCAGAAGTTACCTCCCCCATTCCACAAAGCACTGTCAAACTGTCCCAACCCTTTGCTTTCCCTGCCTTTGTTATAGCAGCCACAATCTGTGCACTGCTCTGACAGCTCACCCGCTCACTGGATTTCACTGGATGTTCTCGGAATTCGTGTTCATTTTACCACCTAGACAGCAGTGTCTAGAGGCAGAGATCAGAAGTGTCCTTCCCTTGGCATCACAACGACCCATGGTGCTCACTCAGCACATTATATCTGCTCACGTGAGAAGTACCTATGATGCTCCTACCATGCATGTGCCACGGTCCCTCCAGGCACTGTCTTAAGCATGGCCGTTAGAAACCCAAGGAAAGCCACTCACATGGCCCACAATTTGGTGGGGACTTTCAGTCTAGTGGTGATTTAAGATCTCCTTTCAAGCCCCGGACAGGTAATACAGAGCCAAGAGATAGCATATAAAACACATTTGCCAACACACATCAGTAACCAACCATGACCAAGCTGATAGAGTAACTATTTCACTAACCTCCATCTTTCTTTTTAGCGATAATTCTGTTTTTGAGCCATTCTTTGGTTTCTTCTTTGACATCTTGGGCGAGTTCTATGACCACTAAAGGTGTGAAGGAGCTCTCACAAGTATCCAAAGTTGATAAAGTCACTCTCATCTTTGACAAACTCACTGAAAATTAAAACAAAAAGCAAAAGCTAGTTAGCATGTGAAGAAAGCAATATGCTAGCCACTGCACTATTCCCTCTAGGCAGAGTCACTGAAGAAACTTTTGCTCAAACTATACATGCTAAAAGTGACACACTGAGTAAGAACACAAGCCAGGATTTCTACTTCCAGGGCAGCAGATGGACTCAGACAAACCCTTCTGCTATCCAGACAATGTACACACACACACATGCACACACACGCTCACACATTCTCTATATATATATATCTTATGTATAAATTAATATATAAATTATACATATCACATATACATATATATACATGATATATATGTGTGTATATATATGTATATGTATATATATATATATATATTTTTTTTTCTTTTTGAGACAAGGTCTCACTACGTAGTCCTGGCTGGCTTGGAATTTGCTATGTAGATAGACCAGGTTGACTTCATACTCCTAGAGATCCACATGCCTCTGCCTCCTGAAGGCTGGGATTAAAGGTGTGCACTATATGTCTATATACACACAACTGAAAAAAAATCTGTCTGAATTTCACTGTTAATGATGCAGTGAGAACAATGGCAACCACAGTCAAAGGACACAGGGTAGAGCTGTGTTTCCAGGAGCAGCTGCCACACTAGGTGAAGGACACACAGAGAGGTAAGCAGGGTTTTTGTCAGCAGGGAAAGGTCACTTTGCTGACTGCCCACTGCACAGGAGGGGCTGGCCTAAGTATCTACTCACTTAATTCCACTAAATCCTACTAATAGATACACAATTTATTACTTCTTCCTTCTTGGTTTTTAATAAAAGAACTAATTAATTAACTTGTATGTACCTATATGAGTATATGCACACGTGTGTGCTGTGCTTGAACGCAGGTCTTTGTACTCTTGTACAGGTGTTTGTGTGGCCACCAGTTTGTTACATTGTAGATGCTGGGGTCTGACACTTAGTTCAGCAAAATTAAATGTTTCAAGATAAGATAACAAATGCTGGGGCTGGAGAGATGTCTCAGAGGTAAAGAGCATTGGCTGCTCTTTCAGAGGTTCTGAGTTCAAATCCCAGCAACCATATGGTGGCTCACAACCATCTATAATGAGATCTGATGCCCTCTTCTGGCATGTAGGCATACATGCAGACAGGACACTGTATACATAGTAAATAATAGAGGAAAAAAAAGATAACAAAAGTTGCCAACCCCCCCCCCCAAAAAAAATGACAACAAAACTACTCAGCAGCCACAAAATAAAAAACCTTGACCAGTGTTTCAACCCTCCAGTGTCAGGTGCAGAGAAACGAATCAAATTAGAGATTCAACAGAATCAGAGGACTCTAGGTGAAGGTTCCCTGGGCATCTCTTAAGTTTTTGTTGCTAGATAGGGACAGAGAAGCAGTGATAACCGTGCAGAGTAGTTCCCATCATTTTCACCAGATGATGCCCAGGGCTGAATAGGGCTGTTTGCACAATGTCTTTGAACTTGCTAAACTAGGAAGAGGATACATCTTGCCTGAGGAATTCCCTGGGCAGGAGGAGGCATTCCTTCCAGGGGAGTAAACAAAGGTCTGAGGGGCAGAGTTCACACAGCAGAATACTGTAGAAAATCTTTATTGTAAGCAGACTGCAATCAGCTCTGACAAAGGACCAAAGGCCAAGAGAGTGCAGCACTGACCACCTGAGTCTGCAGTCAAGTCACATGACAGACACCGAAGGGCCACTCCCCTTCTTCACCCTTGCACATGTCTGGACTACTTGTCCCAGCCTGCTTGTGCTACATGGACATAGACTAAATTCCAGGTGTGTAAGAAATCAAGAATTCCAACTCCAGGCCAGTGCCCTCAGGGGAGGAAACATCCCTCCCCCACCTTCCTCACCCCTCTCCAGGGACCCCTGGGATGGCAGAGAAAGAATAGTCTGGTTTCCTAAACCACAGAGAGGAGCTGCGCTGCCCACGGGAACACCTCTAACACAGGGAGAGCTAACAAGTCAAGCACTTGGCCTCCTCTCACTACTACAACCTTTGTTTGTAAACTGATACCTTTTGTTACCTTCTGTGATAGCCATTGACCTCATCTCTGGGACCAAGTACCTGACAGGAAACAACACGAGGGAGAAAGCACTGATTCTGGCTCACAGTCTGAGGAGATACAGCCCAACATGGTGGGGAAGGATGGCAACGGTCACCTCCATGGGAGCAAGAGCCTGAACGAGTAAGTGGGGAAGTAAACTCAACACCAGCACTCATCCGTCTCTGCGTCTTGACTTCAGATGGCATGTGACCCACTGTCTCATACTCCCACTGCCACACCTTCCCAACCATGATGCACTGTCTCCCAACAGTGCTTTCTACAGGAGCCTCTAACCTGGAATTTGCCAGGGCAAGTCTAATACTTTACTCACTAACTCTTAAGGCTGTCTGTCAGTCTTTGGAGTCAGTCTCAATGACTCCAAAGTCTGAAAGCATGCCTGCTCACAGCACTGCTCCAGCGGGCCACAGTGTCCTCCCAACGAACCTGCCATCTTGCATCAAAGCAACTGAACAGACACAGATATCTCGTGTGGCCTGATCAGCCTTCCTCCCTGCCCTGAAAACAGTGTAGGCTTTGTTCGGGTCTGGCCTATAACAGGCTTTTGAAATTAACACAGGGTTTAAATTATACACTCTCTGCCCACTAGAGCTGCCTTCTCCATCCAAGGCCAAATACTAACTTCTATAGTGATGTCTTGGACTTGTTTTGTTTTTATTTATTTTTCTTTTTTTATATATAAATATTTTTATTTTATAATTAATTTAATTTTACATTTATCAGCCACGGATTCCCCTGTCCTCCCTCCTCCTACCTCCCAGTCTTTTGCTTTGCTTTTCAAGACAGGGTAGCCTTGAAAAACTCTGTGTAGCCTTGGCTGTCCTGGAACTCACTCTGTAGACCAGGCTGGCCTTGAACTCACAGAGATCTGCCTGACTCTGCCTCCGGAGTGCTGGGATTAAAGGCGTGCGCCACCACTGCCCAGTTAATGATATCTTGGAAACACACGTGTGATAGTTTTAAATGCCAACTTAGAAGCTCCTTAGAGAAGAGTTTCATTTAAGGAAGCATCTGGATAAGGTTGGCTAAAGCTATGGTGGTGGGAGAGTCTCAATTGTTAATTGGTGTAGGGAGATCCAGCCCATTGTGGGCGGCACCTAGACTGGGCCATGAAATGTACAAGAGTGAAAAAAGCCAGCTGAGCTTAAGCAGCTAGCAGGCAGCTTGGGCACATTTTTTAATCTGTGCTCTTGGCTGTGGATGTCACGTAATGAGCTGTCTCAAGCCTCTGCCTCTGCCTCCCCTAAGTTGCTTTGGGCAAGGTGTTTTATCCCAGCAGCAGAAAAGAAGTTAGAACACTGTATCTGCAGATGCACCCAAATGCTATGTGAAGACTCATGGAAACCAGGGTCACCATCATGCTAAGCCCTTTCATCCAAGTATGGACCTGCTCAGATTCTAAGATCAGAGCAGATCGGGTGTGCTAGGAAGGGTTTAGGACCAACAGGCTAAGTTCTAAGAAGGCATCAGCTCGTGCTTCCAAACAGCTAGTAAGGTGGCTGGGGAATGACAGCCTTCTGTTTGTCACACATAAGCAACCATAAGGCTTCCAACTGGGGTGAGTGAGAACTCTGGAAAGAGAAATAATGAAGTGTTCAGAGTGTGTGGACATGCATCAAAGGTCAGCACAGCTGAACATTTCTACATTGTCTGAGGTAGTTAATAGTCTACCTTATTCATAATTACCAGGTCATAAAACAGTCTTGCTGAGAAAACCAGAACAGGCTTCTCTTCAAAGCAGGTATATGAAAACTCCTAGAAACCCATAATAAACATTGATCACTACTTATTCTCACTTAAGAGACTCTGTGCCATTCATTACCCAAGGCAGACCCTTAACAATATTGGCAACATATGACAAGTGAGTGTTAATATCCCTCACCTGCGGAGGTCCTAGAAATCAACAGGGGACAAATGGAAACAACAAACCACCAAACACAAAAACACAACCCTCAAAAGTACACCAACCACATCTGAAAAGATGTTCAAGGTCACTAATAAAAAGATAAAAGAAACACTCCCATTTCCAATTTGCCAAAGCTGAAAGATGGGAAGAACTCAGCTTGTGGACATGTATGGAAAATCAGACACCTTCACACACTGTGGACAGACTCTGTAACCTACCTACCACCTTCCAGAAAGCAAACCAGCAATAAGAAATATAAATGTCTACACGTTAACATCACAGTATCATTTTCATGAATTTACCCCAA